GGCTGCTGCGTGCTCCTGACGGCCGCGCTCCGGCTCTGTTTCAGACGCACTGTGCCTCCCCGCCCCACCGCCAGCCCCGGCTAACGCGGGCGCGGAGGATGACGCCCTTCTGGAGAGGAGTCTCGCTGAGACCCATCGGCGCCGCGTGCAGGGACAACAGCGAGTGCATTACCATGCTGTGCAGGTAACTCCTCCTGCGCGGGGTCCAGGCTCGGCGACGCTCGGCGGTGTGTTACGGGGAGGAAGCTCCCACTTACTGTCATCCAGACGAGACACGGAGTTAATCCTGTGCACAAAAAAGACACCAGGAACAGGGATGGGGCAATAGATTCAGACATCTTTTGTAAGTAAGGCAAACAGAGCAGAGTCCAGGTGCTCTGGGTGACAAGCCCGAGTCCCTTCCTTGCAACCCCAAATAACCTGTCTTCTCACAAAAGAAGGCAGGATTCCAGACAGCCTTTAGATAATTGCTGAGACACCTTAAAATTAATCCTTCTTAAAGCCAATACTGTTCGCTCTAAAGCATATATTAATTAAAAGCAGTGCCTTACCCTAAATTAATCACTTTACGGTGATCACTGAAGCTCAGAGTTTAAAAGACAACTAAAATACCTAAAGCCATCAAGTTCTCATGAACACCAGACATGAGCAAATTGCCCAACTACATATAGTTAGATTGATTAACTAAAATTACTGCCTAGTGGCTGGCTGTGCGTGGCAGAACTGTGCACACAGCAGAAAGCAGAGACAGGGCAGAAGGCACCCACTTCCCGCTATCCCTGGATACAGCAGGACGCGGCAGTCGGGCTGCTGTCCTGCACGCGTTTGAAACGCGTCGTTTGGGTCTACCGATTAACGGAGGTGAACTGTGACGGCAGCGACGTGCAGATACAGAGAGGGACTCCTACGGCGTGTCACTTCTGCACCGCAGCCCGACCAGAGAGCCCTGGGCCACGAGCGCTGTGGGGTTGTTCCGCAGAGCAAGGAGCAGAGAGCGATGAATCAAGATGAGCTGCAGAGAGGTGAACACAGCGCGCGCGGCTCCGTGAGCTGAGCCCGCGCCCTGCCGGGCAGTGCCAGAGCAGGTTTTGTTTTCCAGGAAGAACCGCTGCTTCCTCAGAACGGCCTTGGAGTGACCCGGCGGGACGAAGAACACCCATCGCTGTTACTGCTAACAGCGCTCCGCTCTGCTTCCCAAGTATTTATGGACCGTCCAAAAGCCAGGACAGTGAACGGAGCGCTAGGTGTGCGCAACACCTCTGTGACACGAACTGACCAACGGACTTCACAGAGCGCACGAGCGTTTGCTACCCAGGGCACGCGCGTCAGGACGGCTCTCTGGCCACGCTCAATAAAAGGACTCTGCCTCTCATGTTCCTTTTGGGTTTTCTGTAATGGTTCATTTTGGTTTTTTTAAGGTGTAAATTAAAAATTTATCTTGGGCAAACCACCTTGGTTTTCCTTGTATCCTGTGGGCAGAGCGTGTGGGGAGCGTGCAGCAGGCGGTCTGAGGAGGAGTGCTTGTTTCAAGCTGGACTCGAGACCTTCATCCTTCAGCCGGGCGAGGGCATCGAGCAGATCGCGCTTCCACCTCATCTCGGTCGCAGCCGCCGGACTCGTGCCAGGGCCTCAGGTAAAGGCCGGGCAGGACGAGGGAGCAAACACACCGACCGTGCTGACGGCATTTTCAATATCCCAGACGTATCCAGCGATAACCAAAAGTATTTCATTACTTCTAGTCAGATTTACTTATAAAAGTCCTAGACTTTTGCCACTGAGGCATCTGCTGTTTTAAAATAATCTGATCAAAACAGCAGGAGCACGTTAACAGGGAGGGCTGAGAGAAACGAAGCCGCTCTTCAAACGCCAGCCAGCCCAGGCCACGAAGACCGAAGGCGATCTGCCTCCCCGAGGCACAGAGCGCTCGCATCACCGGAGAAAACTGGGCTGGAAAAGGCAACAGCAGGGAGGAGAGCGCCCGCGCGACAGATACGAGCACAGGGGGCTGAAGTTTAATACAGAAAATCTATTTGATATTTATTAAACTTAGTTTCTCCAGTTACAGTTCTGCATTGTACAAAGCATTTTAATGACACAGTAGTTAAAAAGATCTTTACAAATTGAAATGTGATACCCTTTTCTCCAAATATTTTAATTGCCATAAATTTGTTTAAAAATACACATTAAACGCATGTTTCGGACACTAAACTTTCTATAATCTCAATACCACAAAATACATAGAATATACTATACAGATGTGGAAAAAATCTAGTTAGTATATAATACTTTGCTCACCATTAACAGCTTTATTACGTGAAATGCACATACTGACTTAGAAATCCTAATTTTGAGCCCCAAAGTACCCTTTGAAATTTCAAATGTATTGCAACAAATAAAATCACAGTTTGGTTTTTTTTTTTTTTTAGGTTTTGGTCGAAGACAGATGCCTAAATATTTTGATAGAAACAAAAATGTAACACATGGACTTGTCGTGTACACAGCATAAAACAGAGACATCCCGTCGGTTACGAGCAGTACCTTCCTGTGTGGGTCCTAAGGGCTGCACTGATAAGTGACAGGTTAAAAGTTACCTTCCCCCACCCGCCAGCCCTCCCCCAAAAGAAAAACCCTTCTTCACCAAATAATAATTTCAAATAAGATAAAGGATTTTTAATAAATATATAAGCACTTTATCCTCCATATACAAAATTTCTTAAAACAATTTAAAAGGGGGACCAGATACAAATGTCAGGAACTGTGCTTGCAAGAGTCGTGCCTGGTCCTTAGAGCTGGGTTTTCCGGCGCCTAACACCGA